ATTTCATTAAGAATTATCCCGGTATTTCCGAAAAAAAAAAGTTGATTAGGCATTAATTGTAAGTGGCTATAATATTTTAATAGAAACATTAAATAATGCAACTAAATTATTGATTGCTTTAACCAAAGTACGTGAAGACTAAAAGAAGCCATAAAGACAATAGAGAATGGATCCCGCGTGAGAAATGTGTCTTTTCCATTAGGAAGCTAGCTAGCCTCGCGCCGCGGCGTCCCCCGTAATATACTCCGATCCGCCTCCCTTTGTGCTCCCAATTTATTGCTGCTAAAAACGCTTTTGGGAAGCTTTTTTGGCATATCTAGGTATTGCCGTGACAAAGGATAATTTTGCATAAGAAAATGAAGGTATTCGTTTTTTCTGCTCGTTTGACAGGGTGTAACAACCGACGACATTGTTTGCTTACGCGTACGCAACTTTGTGAATTCTAGTAACAAGTTTTCTTTCTTTGATCTCACTTATAACAATTTAAATATATTTTCTGACTGTCAATTTTATTTGTGTTGAAGTCTCTACTTGATACTAATGATGTATTAAATTGTCTACATATACGAGTAGTTAGCAAGTCTCTGTAGGTAACATTTTGAGCCCTGTGCAGTAATGTGCAGCTACTTTGAAATTGCAGTAAAATCTGACACGTTCCAACCTACATGTGTAATGAGATGGAAATATAGAGGAACGCCTCGAGCAGTGCAATATCACTCACGACGTTTATTAAATATCAGCCCCATAGTTCCTGGAAATAATAAAAATGGAATCTAGATATTTCACAATGAAATCAAATACTCCTGCACTGCTGCATATAGGTATTTATAAGCGTACTTTTCACTAGAATGGCTACCCAAGTAAACTCCGACATACTTTGCTTCGACATTACGTTACTCCGACAAAAGATATTCGCCTTTGTCTAAGTAGTGTAGTGTCGAAGTAAAGTCATGTCTATTGTCGATATTTAATAATGTCGAAGTAACGTTTGTCGGAGTTCACTTTTATTAATCACTAGAATGACGGGAAAGGAAGTTAAGTACTTTCATCTTATTCACATGCTCTTTTTAAGCAACTTTATCTCCAACTGCTAACATTTAGGTAATGCGACACACAATTTATTAACATGCTTCTGTTTTTTTCCCAACTCTCGTGAAAAATAAATATGTTAAAAATTGGGTCTCAGTCGCTCACATTTCATGTAGGTGAGTTGTTTTTCAGAAAATTTACAATTTTATTACATCATAAAAACAGTGTTGCGATGATACGCTATCAATATTAAAATTGGCATTAAACTCCTTTCAGAATAAGTAAGTGAACGACATAATCAATGTGTTTTACGAGGTTATTAAAAACGAGCATAAAAACACTTCAGCTTCATCAATCCCCAATTTAATTTTCTATTCAATAAGGTACTTCGTATTACTCGTGATGTCAAAATCAATAACAAATAACAAACGCATGCGATCACGTGTAACTGTATTATTTGACATTTGAATTATTTCGTACAAATTAGAACGTAATGTCATACGTAGAACAAATAAACAATATCCATTCAAATCGAAATTAACTCCCTCCGGAGGTTCAAAGTGACTGACAATTAATGCGTGACAGGCATGAATATGGGATATGATTGCGTTTTGATGTTCTAAATTTAGTTCCAGCGATGAATTTTGACAGTCATCCGTCCATCAATTTGTTGAGTAAAGTTGGCAAAGTTGAGTGACGAATGCTGACATCCAAATCTAATTGTTATGTTCTTAATAGTAAAAAACACTATAAGTAATCACAACAGTTATAGGTATCGATATAATAATCGTGAAACAAGGTCCGCACACATTAGATGACTGTTTTTGCAACAATCACAGGTATTTCAGTATCATAATTACTAGCTGTGCCCGCGACTTCCTACGCGTGTAAACCCGTTTTCGCAACATTTTTAATTTTTGCTCTGCACCTATTACTCGTAGCGTGATGGTTTATAGCCTATAGCCTTCCTCGATAAATGGGCTATCTAGCACTGAAAGAATTTTTAAAATCGGAATGGTAGTTCCTGAGAATAGCGCGTTCAAGTAAACAAACAACTCTACAGCTTTATAATATTAGTATAGATTCAGGTATTTTTGAAATTACCTCGCTGAAGGTCGCATAACTTTGCAGTCAACAAGAATCTAAGCACTAAATACTAGAGATGAAACGGATAGTTGTTTGGCCGGATACCGGATACCGGATATCCGGCGAGCTGCTAGGCCGGATAGCCGGATATCCGGCGGCCGGATAGTTGTCCCATTGTCATGTTGCATGTCGTAACGAGTTTAGCGCTGCACAGGTGCTTCGAACGCGATCAGTAGGTCTAGTAGACTAGACAAGTCACACTTTTCGAAAATCGAATTCGTTCGAATAGAATGTCAGATTTTGCCACTCGTCTAAGGGGCAGATCAATTCGGGCGATTTCGGTTGCCATCGTGAGTATGTGATTGAATAGCGAAAATTCAATAAGTACACTTGCTGCGTAATCTGAATGAACTGCATTATACAGGGTGACTTTGAAATNGCTTTGAAGTCAAGGGCGTATGCAGCGGGAGATGGCAGAAACTTTAAATTTATCGCGTAAAACCTTAAAATATGCATTAAAAAGGCATGGCCAGATCACCCTTTACACAAGAAGACCAAGAAGTGGGGAATTAAGGTGTGTGTCAGCGCTATTTGGGGAATGCACGATGTATCATGAGTAGTCTTATATTAAAAGGATGCCAACGATTTCAAAGTCACCCTGTATGTTATCAGACCATCAGTGAAAAAAAAGATCGCCTATTTTATTTGGCAATATTTCGACATTAAAAAACTAAAAACTCATTTATTTCTGTACATAGGCTTAAAAAAGCACTTTTACACGTCCCAGTATTAACCCTATCACTGCTTCAGGACAATAAATGGGAATTAAAATATATTTACTATTTATGTATTCGTCATTAGAGTGAATAGCCCAGAAAAGAAATTAGTTTTTTGAAAGGCCTTAATATGGCTTTTTTGTAACTTTTTGGACTTTAGATAAAAACCGTCATTATTATAAGCCACTTTATTGATATTTGACTCAAAGATTAATGTGTTTCATTTTATTATAGGAATTTTCGTAGTTTTTTTAATATCCGGTATCCGGCCGGATAGTGAGCTACTATCCGGTATCCGGCCGGATAGTAAATTTAGGCCGGATATCCGGCCTACCGGATAGTTGCCGGATATCCGTTTCATCTCTAGTTCCCATAGCGGGCTCTTCCTCGCCATAAAGCGCCCTGAAAGCAGCAGATGTCCGTTAAATCTTTACGGCTACCACCGGCCCGGCTTTTTTATCCGGGCTGACGGGCTGACAATTTGATACACACGGTCGGTGCGGGCGGGCAACTTGTGTAGAGCTAATAACAAAATCTTTCTCAGATCAAGGTGAACAGGGTGATACCAGTGATACCTTGTGGACGTAATAAATGCAAGTTATAGGCGATTAATTTACCAGTAACCCTATAATATAGGTATATAGGTGGTACTCAGCAGACAGTTCACAAATTATTACGAACTGAGTACCACATACCTAATAAAATTAAGTTTTAAAAAATGCCATATCTTAATCCTAGACAAAGATCGGCAACAATAAATATTGAGCATTAGTAGTAAGCTTTACAACTTATACCCAAATTATTTAGATATTACCTACTTACTCAACATATTTTTATTATATTTTTCCCTACCATGATATCTCATACTCATGACGGCTTGGCATTCTTGCAAGCTGTGTGTCGCCCGACGGACAGATCCTAGAAAGGCGTGAAATGGCAGATGATCTTTTAAGAGATTACTTTGCGGCTAGGATTATTTTCGTCCTGGTAGTTTTTAAGACTCGGGACTGTAGATTATTTTCTTTTGTAGTTGTTTTTGATGATCCACTTCTTTTATTTGTTTATCATCTAACGTAGAATTTCTAATTATATCAATACACTTAAAAATACTTAGAATAGATTTTAGTAGAGTATTATTAATGTAATTTTATCATAGACTGAAACTCCCGTTAAATAAAATTGCCTTTTAAATATTTAAAAATATTCAAACTTTTTTCCTCGAAAAAGGTCAACCTTACCTCCCCGAACCTCTTTTGTAATTGGCGCGAAAAATAAAAAAAGCATTTGTCAAATCTTGCGGAGATGTCAAAGGGCGGAAAGCATGGCTCCCTGGCTTCGCTGTGATTAATCACGAAATGGGGGGGAAATCACCTTACGTGTAGAACACGGGAGAAATGGAGAAAGTCAAGTTAAAACACACTCCGTAATGATAGCAACTTCTGTACCAAACGACCGTAAATTCTAGTCATCAGGTGAGACAAGTGTTTATTTGTATTGTACCCTCAGATTGTACCTTTACTGCCTTTTTTCTGGGATGCGGATTGTCTCACTAATAATCACGCTGCTGGTTGCGATGATTTATTACTAGCATGATAGCTGGTAATATTACTTCAATGATCACAGTAAAACTTACTTTACCTTGTTACCAGGTTGTAAGTATTGAGCCTCAGTATTGAGCATACCTAGAGTACTATGATGGAGTAATCTAGTGGGCCTCGCGTCAGATTTGTGAATTCATCGATGATTCGTATGATATTATCGAAAAAAAAATCTAGATATCTCTTGAAAAATAGGTACTGTTGTTCCAATACATTATTTTACTATATTTTTAAAGCTATGCTACTGCTGAATGTCAAATGTTTTTCATTGAAGCAATTTTGAGAAATGCCATGCTCTATAAGTTTACATTATAGTACTCTATATGTTCCAACCCGATATATTCACAGTTCCGTTTATTTTGTTTTTGTACGGGAATGCCCATGCCATTATCGCTTTTTGTGAACATCTTCAATAATACACTAAATAAATAAAAAATTACTGAAGAAACCATAATTCAGTTAACTATATTAATTAATCTTTCATCCATAGGTACACACAGCAGCTACAGTTTGAAAACACGGATGAACAATGAAATGGAATTGATTTAAATACAGAAAACATAAAATTTTCCAGAAGAAATCATTTCCACAGTCATGGAATGTAATTGAAACGCAAAAATTCTCTAAACAGCCACCAGAACAATGAAACGGCAGTGATTATAGACAAAAACATGGAGATTTCCTTCATAAACTGATTTCCTCATCCATGGAATGTTATTGAAACGGCCCAATTCCCAGCTGCGGCAGAAACCTATGGAATGGTGGTACTGCGGGCCCCTGGTGCTGGCCATCATTATGTTCCTGCTCGTTGGCACCATCTGTGAGCGACGCATCGAGGCGGCCATCCGACGCATTAGTACGTACGTCTCAAAATACTATAATATATATCTAATTATAAAATTGCTTTTAACAATGCGAAACATTACGTTATTTTTACAAGATACTAGCTTTTGCTTACTTTTGAGCTTTAGCATTACGTTATTTTTACAAGTTACTAGCTTTCGCTTACTTTTAAACTTTCGAATTACGTTATTTTTACAAGTTACTAGCCCGCGGCTTCGGGTTAATATATGTAGCCTATGACACTGAACAATATTATGGTTTTCTTACAAATAATTTTATATTAAGCGGTTGGTCAATATAGGCGGAGTTATTAAACGGATTCTACTGTACTTAACAAACCTTCCTACTTCAACTCGTGAAAATGTTACTAAAATATAAAAGTTTCACTTAACCATAACCTAGTCGCTCATTCTTCCTGGAAAATTTTAAAGTTTCGTACCAGCACGTAAAATGCAAGCAAAAACCATATATTTTGATCAAAATCCTAATATCCAATTTTATTAAAAGCACCTGCCGCTGCTCTAACATGCAAGCGTTTCTGAAAATCGATATTGGGTGTACTATATCGATTTAAATTTGTGTTCATATTTCACCGCGATCAACAAAATGTAGATTTTGGCATTTTTAGTGGCCACTGATTTAGTTTTATTAGATTCTCATATGAGCAACATAAAGTCGTGAATGAAAGAAATTACCACGACTTTTTAGGAGTAGAATAGGAGAATGGATTTAACAAAATCCTACACCTACTAATATTATAAATGCGAAAGTTTGGATGTCTGGATGTTTGTTACTCTTTAACAACTGTACAGTATTATATTTACCCAGAATAACATTAGGCTATAATTTATGATGATCTGTGAAAAAATAAATTTCACGCGGGTGAAGCCGCGGGCAAAAGGTAAGTGTATCATAAAAATCTGACGGTTCTTTTTCGGAGTACTAATCTTCTATTAAGTGGACTTCTTCTCTGGAATTGAACTAAAACGGTTTATATTAGGGGACTAATCGCTACATACACAACAACATTGTTTCTCTCTAGGTCAGCAGTTCCTCACTAAAAGATGTTACAATTAATCTCACTCTTATTTTTCAGTCGAACGCAGGAGAGCATTGCTCCCCCCACTGCCCCCGCCAGTTGAATACGAAGACGTATCGTGTTCCACCACAGACCTGCCCCAAGAATCAACTCCTCCGCCCATGATGACGCCCTCCCAGAGAACCCTTAGGGCCAGCAAAACTGACACACTGCTCGTCAATGACCACAGGCTAGATGTACCGATACAGAGTAAAAAACTGGTCGTGGATACGGCATGTTAACCGCCTGTGTTAATGTTAGCCACCAGAAGGATATCCATATAAAAGCTAAAGAATGGACATGGTTGAAGACATTTGATTTAACGCTGCGAATCTGTCTCTGAGCACATTAAGCATATTATGACAAAATTGCTAATTATTAACCGATATTCCATACACATCGGACATAAATATACAAGACAAGAGAAATAAAGAAAAATACATTTTCGAATCATAACGGAACTTTGAAGGCACAGATGCTAACAAAAGCTAGCTTCAAATACTGAATTTTCCCGTTTTCTTTTGCTCTAATTTCCATCAATTTTAACCTGTTACACTTTCATCATGACGCGGAAACCAAAGCAATTTTCAGTGCGTGTTTTGTTAATAGTTTTCCTTCTCACGTACCTTCCTATAATGAATCGAGATAAAATAAATAATTGAACAAGATCAACGCAATCAGAAATCGCAGTTTTATTTATACCACATACCTAAGAATAACATGTGATTGTAACGGCTATTTTCATTTCAAAGACGGTCCGGTAGACAGGTCGTAACCCTTCGAGCTAGGAGCGTCGGATTAAAAAGCGAGGTATCTCTCGCGCCCGGACAAGGACATATAGTCCGAGTCGTCCACCCGTCCGGGCCGGGTAATTTCCCTTGTGACCGGGACCACGCGCGTTGGGACTGCTGGAAAAGGTTCGTACTTGTCACATACATAAACAACGTACCACCTTTTGATTCATCCATGCAGAGAGCTTTGTAGTTGAAACCTAGTTCTGACAGAGCTTAGTAGGTGTACTCGTAGCTTGATTAATCAAAATCATTAAGGCTGAGTTGCACCACCTAACTTTGACCGTAACTATGACGATAACAGGTGTTTTTAGTATGGAGTTTGACAAATTTTTGACGTTTATCTAAGTTAAAGTAAGATGGTTCAACCGAGCCTTAGTGTTTTTTGCTATCATAGGCTTTTAAAAAGTGATCCATCTCGTCCGAGAATCATTTTATTTATTTATTCCTATATTTCACTGTGGACTTACAGTTTTACCCAAAACAGCGACAGCGACAGATTTTTGACAGCTGCTTTGGAGCATGGTTAGCCAGTGCAGAGAAGATGCAGCGAAAGAAACTCATAAATATGAAGTTTTTCATGAGCCCCTTTTACTAATGCTTTTACACAGCTGATCATGGCAGTTCTATGATCACCACCTTTGATTTTATTTGTGTAACAGTGAGATCATTAGTCAATCCACTACCAACTTCAGTCCAGCTAACTTGCCTTTATAAACATAGCATCGAGACCGCGTATTGTCGCCACCGCGCCTCGGTGCTAAACGGGCGACTGTCAAGCAGTCAAACATACCCAGCTTTTATTACACGATACACTGGGTCTGTCAAGCAATGCTGTTACAGAACCAAACTAGTCGGAGTCTATGTTTAACATTAACATTTGTTAGAAAGTTGTCGTAACTATTTCCGAGGAACAATGTGTGTAAATTGTAGACATATCTTGACAATGTTCAGTTGTGATTTTACGCTACAATGATCACGGATTGTCAAGAGGAAGAGTCAGTTGTATTTTATACGTAAATAGCGGCCGCCCGCAACTTCGTGCACGTGGATCCCATTTTACCCCCTTAGAGGTGGAGTTTCGTAAAATCCTTTCTTAGCGGATACCCACGTCATAACATCTATCTGCATGCCAAATTTATTTAGCCCGCTCCGTCCAGTGGTTTGGGCTGAGCGTTGATAGATCACTATGTCAGTCAGTCAGTCATCTTTGTGTTTTATATTAGATTCACATAAACTAATTAATTTAAAAAAATCACATAAACTCTTTGAAAATCGTTAAGATATTGTAGGTGCAGCGTTGAGGTCCATTCACTCATTAGCGGCGCCTATTAGTGAGCACAAATACGTTAGGAGGCTATCTTTTGATCAGCGTGTTAAAATAACTAAACCTGTCGAATCAGAGACCTTTCGCAAATGTTCAAAAATATTTCCATGGAAAATCAAAAAGTGATACAAATAAGTTATCACCTATGTGCTACATATTTACTACAAAGTTGTAATGGTTTCACAAGTTCCCAAGACAGCTAAATTGTTTGTAAATTACTAAAGACGATGATGTTAATTTACATTAACATATCCATATCTGTAACGCAATGAGCAGGCAACTTCACAATGCGGCAACCACCCTTTAATAGGCATTATGTAGCGGCACAAAGGTTATGTGGGAGGAAATTTAATAACCTGCGTGCAGCATCCTGTCACAGTCATTAATGGAATTCATAAATTCAGCAGATAGACTATGAAAAATTCACCGCGCGTCGAGCCAACTCGGAATATTAAATATGTTTTCTTTTCATATGAAACGTCAATCGCATCTCCTTCCAATATAGATCGGTGTGTGCGAAGCCATTATGTAAACGTTGTTGAAAGTATTTTTTAAATTTCTCTTTGGATAATCGATTTTATTTGTAACGGCAATCATATGGACACCCATTTAGCGCAGTATAACAGAAACGGCAAATTCTATTTAGTTACACAAGAAAACTAAAGTATTTGTAATTTTTTATTCAATTTGACTCGATGAATACTATGATTAAGAGAGACAGGTATAGTTATTTTTATGTTTATAAGTGAGAGATATTTTAAAACGCAAAAAACAGTAGATAGGCTCGACTGCTCGACTCATAAAGTTGCTTCAATGTTGCGGATTAAATTCATCACTTGTTTTTCCCACCTGATTTATTTTTCATATTCAGCCAGTACCGACATAACCAACCTTTTAAACGCTCTTAACAAAACAACTGCCTACGGCACTTTGTTGTCAGCGATAACAGGATTCCATTAAGAATTCCAAACAACTTTTTTATTGGCAACATGTTAAATATGTCTCTAGGAAGTGACTTGCGTTTGTTTAGGACCGGCCAAATAACCTACTCACTCCGTCAAAATCTTGTGCTGCTGTTCATAATTAGCTAAGACTCTATTTCTAACGAAATAAGGTTGAAATTTATCTGTTTAAAAGTTAGCTAAGTTATTTTTGTCGTGGTATTCGATAGGAAATTGTGAGCACACTTGATGGAATTAAAATATAGAGGGCGCTCGCTGTTGGCTTTCGCATTACGATAGTGTTTGTCCCGAGAACGCTAGCTCACGTTGTTACTCCATTGACTGGCGTGTGTGGCAGTTGATGTAAAAAATCCGTGTTTTTACGAAGTGTCTAGTTTTTTAAATACTATGAAAAAACGTCCAGGGTAGACATATTTGGTCATGAGAGGCATAATCATCTTACTAGACTCGATCAACGATCACTCATAAACATATGACGGAAAAGCAGTCAATGAAAATATGAGTAGTATTGAAAGAAAACATACAAAAGAAAAATAACTAACAAAACCAGTGGAGATTGTTGTTTTATCTAGAACTCGTCTTTTGTCGTCTGTGAACATTTCTGCTTACATTGTAGAGCAACCCTGAGGACGTTTAATCCTCCCTTTGTGTACTTTCAAAATAATGACGAAGTGTCTGCTTATCCTAAGCAATCCCAATAAGGATGAGGGTCCCCTAATTTGGTCAAATAAAGTGAAGTCTTGACGTTTAATATACATTTTACAAAGTTGATGGACGATGTTTCATTTTTACAGTCAACCCTTTTTGTTTAAATTAAACCAACTAACATTGTTTTTTTACACGTACCTATTCAAAGAAAGTGCTTAATTCAAACAAGAATTTTTCAAATTTTGGACCCCTATTTTACTCCTTCTCCAACACCAAATTCATTCAACTTAATTCAGCATATTAGGTTCGTAACACCTTACCTGTAGCTACATCTGCATTTATTATACAATAGAAAATGTATGATAAAACATTTATTTTGCTGCCACATAACATAGAACACACACAGTAACATTATTTACGAAATTATGAAGGGTGATAAATGTGATAATATTAGTGGTGTGTGCACTTTCCCCCTCTCTTTTGTTCTGCTTTTGTTCTGCAGCAGAATCACTTCTTATCCATAGAACTTGATAGACAAACAGGTTCATCTATCAGCTCAAATACTTCCATCAGGCAGACTTATAAATATTTCAGTTGGCGAAGTGTGTAGATTTATGCTAATTCATAAAGACCAATAATGGCGGCTCATCGCTACCGCGCGCACTCTATTTTTATATATAAAAGATTATTAATCATTTGTTTTTGTACAAATTACTAATAATCGCGTTACCCCCTCGTAGTAAGCATACTCGTATGCTCGTGTCACGAAACTCTACTGTCTTTTTTCCCCTCTGTATCCGTTTTGCAGCAGAATCACTTCAAAATCAAAATCAAAATTTTCTTTGTTTATTTAGACTATTTAAATTAGTTCTTGCAAATCCTCAAATGCTCTTAAGGAGCCTATACATGTCTCATTCTTTTTTTTTGCCCTACCAGCGCTTCGAGACAAACATTTGGCAAGTGCTGAGAAGAAGCGCCGCAACAAACTCAGTCACCACTGTCTGCCGGCTTCTTATCGATAAAAGCTTGATAGATAATCACAGGACTCGTCTTATCTCAAGTTATCGATATTTCAGTTGGCGAAGTGTAGATTTATGCTAGTTCATCAAGACCAGTAATGGCGGCTCATCGCTACCGCGCGCACGTACTTCGATTGCGAACTCTATTATACGTCTGGAGTGACGTCTGATAATCGACTATCTATCTACTTGTAACACGATAATAATCTTATGAGAGAGGTTAGAGATAACTGGAAGTTTTGTTAGTTGATAGAGTTTGCCAAACTTTTTTGTTACACGTACCTACGTACTGAGATATAATAATGTTCTGAAAAAGAAGCTCACATAGGTGACGGTGCCCGTTTTCACCATCATTTTCTAATTTTTAAGTGAGCCCTGAAAACAAAATTCTTGTCACGTGTTGATGTGTTACCATAGGTGTCACTTAAAAATTAGGGATTGATGGTGAAAACGGGCATGAGTTCCTTACGCTACTTCTTTTCAGCACTGGCCCATTTATTGTCCCGAAGCAGTGGTAGGGTTAAAGTAAAGTAAAAGAAGTCCCAGAGACTTTTTAAAGCGCTTTATTGAGATAGCTGATAGGTGATAGATGAGCCTAATTTCACAACATTTTTTTTAGTAAATACCTACAGGCATCATTACATAATAATGCTCTTTAGTTAAAAACAAATAGAACTTCTTCTCACAATCAGTAAATAACGATCTTCTTCATTAGATAATAATAATTGTACAGAGAAAAGCCGAAAAGAAAGTAAATTATGCTAAACTCACTGTACCTACACGTGTAAGGGTTAAAACGCCATCTACCCAGACGAAGGCAAACTTATTGAAAGCTGACACGACTAAATTCTTGTAGAGCCTCACTGCAAGGCGCTGTAGTCGAGCTTTAAAAGTTTCTGAAGCTTTTTACGATGTTTGTTT